CTTGAGCTCGCCCGTTCCTCGGGTGCCCGCCCACCCGCCCGCCCGGCCGCGCCCTGTCCCCGCCTGCTGGCGGGGCGCGGCCCGCGGGGCGCCGAGGGGCTGCCGGGGTCCTCCCGGGGCGACGCCGGGCGGGCGGGTGGGCGGGCACCCGAGGAACGGGCGAGCTCAAGGCCCCGCTCGGCCGCGGGGCCCCCTGGGCTCGCCGGGCCAGCCGCGGACTCGCGGGCCGGGCAGGCCGGGCCACCTCGCAGGGCTGTGGTTGTCAGGCTGCGATCGAGAGGAGGAGACCTGCCGGCTGCCTTGGCTCCTCTGGAGGGAGAGAGAGGCGGGCTGCAAATCTAATAATTATACCTGGAGGGACTGAGCTAAAGCGCCTGGCAAGATTCCCTGCACCCCAACAGCGGCCCTGGTGTCACCCGCTTGGACTCGGCCCTTCAGTTCTGCCCTGCTCTGCATGGCTCCAGTCACTTCTGCACCTTTTCCCCTTCCTTATCCAAGTCTGTCAGCAAGCAGTTTTTACCTGCAGTCTCATTTGCCTTCAACGCTTCAGAGGGGCTTTTGTGGGTAGATACATTTTAAAAGCAGCTACAAAAAAATGGATCTAGCACCAGGCAACTATCTATAACGGGCTAGGTAGAAATCAGAACTTTTCCAGAGAGCGCAATCTGTGCAAGTTCCACTAACCACAATCGTACTGCCTTTGCGGAGATCAGTAACGGATGTTTTATGAGCGTCATCTTGAATTAAACAAATTCCCACCCCTGCTGCCCAGAGAAGGTGAGCAGGACAGCTTGGGAATCATGGAAGCTGCCTTGGGAAGTTCCTCTGAAGAACAAAGGGTGGTTTTAAAAAGGAGTCCAGCGTGTGTTTTCTGCTGCTTATACTTGTTCATAATTATTCCTTTAAACTGAGCATGCCCAAACTTTTTGGCATTTTGAACAAACCATCATAGTACCAACACAGGAAGTTTCCTACTATAAATATTAGGTTTGTTTGGGGGTTTCTTTTTGACTGAGGTCTCTGGGTTAGAAGAAGGAAGTTAGCAAAATTCCAGCCAGTTCACTGAGATTAGTTCAGTCTTGCCTTAATTAACTGCTCAATAGTCTAAGCCATCAGGCCACGCAAGTCAAGCATAACATACAAACCAGGGCACGTGGGCTGTTATCCACAGCTGGGTTTTTGAGGCTGGGCATCTCCAAAGGCAGGCGGGGGCCGTCTAATATTCAGTTAAGGAGGCGCTTGTGTCACTGCCCAAAATTGCTCCTCTAGGCGGGACGTGGCCACACGTGGGGCCTGCTTGGAGTGGAAGGCGTGGTAGGAACCTTGCCGGGGTGACTGGCCTGCAGGGACCCTCCGCAGACAGAGGTGCACGGATCAAGAAAGCCCCTGGCCCTGGACATCTCCTGCAGGAGAGTGGGACATGCGCAGTGGGCTTGTTTGGGTGGGGTCCTTGGAGGAACAGCGTGCCAGGGCTTCTCCCCTCGTGCCCTCCAGAATTAATGATGGACACCTGCCTTGCAGTGGACCAAGCTCGTTTGTACTGAGCGGTGTGAACCTAACTTTATCCAGGGCACTCACTGGAGGGGAGGGGGCTAATCTGTGGGGGTGCCTTGGGTTTAATTTGTCCTTCTGTCATCTTAACGTGGAGCAGAGTTCCTTTCCTTAACTCAAAGGTAGGTTATAAGTGGCCGTGCTAAACAAGTGCACAACCGAGCACCCACCGACAGAAGGAAGTCCACGAGTCAGGCACCTCTGTTGAAGCACTGGTTACGTAGCTTGACCGTAGGGCGGACCATGCGTGTCTTGGCCCACCCAGCTAATCACGCACATAACTGGTTCCTGTTGTTTGACCTTAACTATGTGGAGCGAAAGAGCAATGCCCAGAAGATGCTACCTTTGACAAGTTAGCCAAAACCTGCTAAGTGCACCTTCCCTCATCTTTGGGGGACTTACCCTCCCTCACCAGCTTTTTGTTTTCCACATCCTGGGCCTGGCTCCCATCCAAACATGCACCGGCACCATTCCAGCAAGTGAAGCTTACTTACACTATCTGCACACTGCGTCCCTACCAAAAATGGCACTCGGGGCCACTGCCTCTTCAGACACCCACCCTCTGACACTCTTGGCAGGTCACTACCCCTTGCGAGTCTGGGGATGCAAAGACCACTTTCCTCACAGTGAAACATCAGTGCAAAAGCCAAGCCCCGTGATAGCCAATCCCAGCTTCTCTGTGTGGGTTGGCCAACAGCTGGGAAAATCTCCAACTGTGGGGTGTTTCTAGCGATCGATCCTGCTATATGGTGCCTTCGAAAACCTAAAATTGTCCTGCTATGGTCCTTGTCCAAAGGCATCACTTGCTTCCCCCTCCCGCTTGATGTCATTATCCAAAAACCCCGTTCTGTTATCAAAGCCACGAGAGAATTCCGGAGCCCTGTGTGGTTTCTGCTCAAAGCAAGGCAAGCTGTCCAAGAGCACAGATTTTCTCAGCTCTGGGCCGTACGTAATCTGGAGAATGCAGTGCCCAATGCAATTTAATTACAGAGTGTCTTTAACTTCTGCTACGCAACTCTGAGATGATCCGAATAAGGAATCCCCGCACGTCTGAGTTCCTGTGAACTCACTTTGCACAAAAAACGGGGGGAAAGAGGTGGGTCATGGGAACAAATACACTTGCTGAATGTCAAGTGACAAATTAAGACCTCTTCATTTGAGAATATTTTGGAAATGGCTAATAAATCCAGCCTAGGTGGATCAAACCGGCCAGTCCTAGAGGAGATCAACCCTGACTGCTCTTTAGAAGGCCAGATGCTGAAGATGAAACTCTAGTACTTTGGCCACTGAATGAGAAGGAAGGACTCCCTGGAGAAGAGCCCGATGCTGGGAACAATGGATGGTGAAAGAAGGAGGGGGCGGCAGAGGATGAGGTGGCTGGATGGAGCCACTGGGGCAGTGGGGCTGAGCTTAGGTGGCCTCCGGGGGATGGAGGACAGGAAGGCCTGGAGGAATGTTGTCCATGGGGTCATGATGGGTCGGGCATGACTTTGTCACTGAACAACAACATGGTGAGGAAGAATTTCAGCTTCAGCACCAAATGCAAACCAATGTCTGGGGACACTGGTTCGTGTTCTCCTGTTTTCAGGAAGGCACAAGAAGCTGTGCAAAGGTGCCCCTGCTTTCAGGCTCCTGAAGGTCCACCAGCGCTGCCTCGCAGGTTTTCAAGATGCCTTGACAACCAGAATGACTGGAAACTTATTTTAAATCTGCCCCCAAAAGCTGAGCTTTGCCAGATGCCGAATTTTGCACGCACGCTTATCTGCCAAGATCTCGGGATCAACGCAGGTGCTTGGGGACTCATCTGCCTTGGCGCCTCATGGGGAGGGGTCCGAAGGAAGCTGTCCAGAGACACACCAGGAAGCCAGGATTGGTTGACGCATGAGGATGAGGTGCCTGGAGTGGACCCACCCTTTAAAAGGCCCTGCACCTGCCAAGACCGATTCCTCTCTTGCCCGCTGAAAGGCACGATCGCCATGCCGCTGCCCTGCAGAATGGGGAGCCTGGCACTGGCCAACACGCCACCCAAGTCCCTTTCCCTGCACCCTGTTAGGTGCCTTCATGGCGGAGCCGCAAGGGACCTAGGGCTGGGCAGCAGCTGCTTGAGGAGGAAGGCAAGAGCATCTGGCGACCTCCTGTGAAAGGCAATGTCGGGGCATCCTCGGAGATGCCCGCCTGACACCCCACTGTAACACTCCACAAGTGGTAGCTTTTGTGTCCTGTTTGGAATGGGGTGAGCTTTAAAATGGCTGTCCCTTAGCAACACGAGCTGTGCGGTCCACCCACACCGGGGCCAGGAAGAGATTTGTTTGGCTGTTTCTCTACCTTTCCCCCACCTTTGTGAAAGGCCAGGAGACTCTGCTTGCCTGAAAGAAGCCCAGCTTTTGATAGCGCAACAGACGTGGCCTTCATTCCACACACGTGTCTATCTGGACCAGCACGTCCCCAGCCGGCACGTGCCCACTTCCTTTCCGAGCGTCTGTGGATCCGTGGTGTGTATTTACAGTTCCTCCTTGGAGCTTTCTCCGTAAATGGGATCCCAGTATCCCAAGCATCACAGGGGATGCATTATCCCCGGGGACAGAGGCACCCGGCAGAGCCAGGTTCCTGCCCGGCCAGGATCGGTCCAGCGTGGGGGTGGGGGTGGGGGTGGAGACGCAACACTTCGTCCTCACCTGGGTCGGGCGCAATGCACTCGCACTTGTACATGGTCACGTAGTCCGGCTTGAAGTCTGAATTGATGGGGTAGTACTTAAAGGCGCCGATCATCTTCTTGATGGCGTCATAGATGAAGATGAAGCTGATCAGGGTGGAGAAGCCCTCCTCAGTGAAGCGCGTGATGTACTTGATGATGAAGCTGGCGTCCGTGGCCACCAGGATCAGGCACTGCAGGGCGGAGTGCAAGCCGATCCAGAGGCGGAACTCCATGTAGTCGATGCTGTTGCCCCTGGAGGTGGGAGCGGAGCAGCGCTGTGGCCTTTGCAAGACCCTCACACGGTGGCGCAGGAGCCAGCGGCGACCGCACTGCCTCCCGTGCGCGTCCATGTGTGGGCTTGGCTGGGATCCAGACCGAGCACTGCCATCTGGCGCCGGCCAGGAGTGAATTTTCCTGCTGATGCAGCACCGAGGCTGCTGTGCTCGTCTCTCGCTGTCCCTGAACTCTTTTCTGGCACTGCCTTGACGAGCTTTATTCTTGCTGACCGTAGGCTGCCTTAATAGCCATGTGGATGAAGGGCAACGTAATTTTTGAAAGAATGAAATAATCAGCGTGTATGCTTGAGGTTTATTCGATAAATGCCGGCACCGCTTGCTTGCGGCTCACTGCTTAAGAGCTGGAAGGAAGGGGCGTCCTTTAGGTCTCAATGCAGGGAATTCCACAGGCACTCGGGCACGATCCCCGCCTCTCCTGCCATTGTTGGGAGCAGGCAAGAGGTTGCCTGGGGCTCCCACTCCAAGGGCCGCAGACAATGCGGCTGGAACTCCAGACATGGACCCTCCCGCCCCTCTGCGGCTGGCTAGAAAGAACCGGCCCTCGGCACCCTGTTCAGCGCCATTTAATACCCGGATAGGTGCTGGATGGGTGTGGGGGTGAATGGATGGACAGATGGATGGAGCGCACCGACTTTTCTCTCCAAGCAACCCTGCAAACGGCCCACAGTGCCTGCAGTCAGCCGAGCAGAGCCGGTGGGGATGGAGCGGCGGATGAGAGGAGAGCAGACAAAGAGAAGCAACCGCTCCACTCACTTGCTGAAGTCGTAGAGCAGCTTCTCGAAGATGAGGATGGGCCCGGTGCTGCTCAGGATGATGAGGGGCTGCCCAGCGAAGAAGCAGAAGAGGGAGCCGGCCATGGCGGTCCCGAGGAAGCTCTCCATGACGCCCTGGCAGGGGAGAGGCATGCGTCACACACAGGGCCCCGTGCCTGCTCCCCGCTGCCCAGAACAGTGCCGCAAAGACGTGCGAGCTGTGCCACGTGCTCGGGAGGGCTGCGGTCCCTCTGGACACGCCCCGGAGCAGTGGCACATGGACCCCGCCGGTGCTGCCCCCTCGCTGCTTCCCAGCACACCGCTCAGCCTGCTGCAGCCACACACTCGAGCCAAGCGCACACAAGCGCATGCCCCACATGGATGCCCGCTGGGGGCAAAACGGAGTCCGTGGAAAGGGGCTTCCTCTCTGGGGCTCCAGGCTGGAGCCCACGGACACTTTCAGCAGGATCGGCAGGGTCAGGCTTCACTGCGTGAGGCATTTGCTGTGTGCGCCGCGTTCCCTCCCGGTGCTCTGCTTGTGCAGACCCTCAGAACCCGTCCACCTGGACCCTGGGCCCCGAGCTGCCCCGGCAGAGCAACCTTCGGCCCTCCTGTGGCCGGCCTGGGGCAAACCTGCCTGGTAGTTCTCTGTGGCATCCCCCAGCAGCCCGCCAAAGGTGATGGCGTTCGTGATGCAGCCCAGGTAGATGAAGAGGATGGCCGAGATGGACTGGATGTGGAAGCCCTCGTAGAAATCACTGGGGAACCAGGGCAGCTTCCTCTTGATATCCAAGTACAGGCCGCCGCAAAACCTGGAAAAGGCCAGAGGAAATGCTCCACACTGCCTGCCCTAAAAGGAGGCCGCATTCGGTGCCCGAAAGCCACTGGCCATGCCCTGAGTTTCTGCAAGGCCAGACATGCCGGGAGGCGCCCCAGGTTTGCTCCGAACAGGCCAGCCGGCCGGGGGCCTGAGCATGCCGCCCCGCCGGTCTGCTCAGCCTCTTTCCAAGGGGCTTGGCCCTCAAGTGCCTCGTGAGCGCCTGGGCCTGGCCACACCTGGCATGGAGGGCCTTTTGGAAAGCACCTCCAGGTAGAAAACCCTCTCCCAAGGAGCCCTACGGTGATTTCCTTTGGGAACGCTCCAAGGGGCGCCCCCAGGTCCAGAGCAGCACCAGGCCAACCAGACCAACAGCGCCCAATTCAGGCACTGGGGTCTGCTCAGGTCTGCCTGGCAAGCAGAAAGCCGCGGGGGTGGGGGGGGGCATCTTCCCTGCAGGTCACTCCTGCCTGGCTCGAGGACTGGAAGGGCTATTAAATAACAGGCAGGAGTCGCACTTCGGTGGCCGAAAGGCACTCCAAGCAGGGAGGGTCTTGCACCTCCCCCTTTATGTTCCTGCTGTTCTTTAAAAATCAGTCCCCCCCACCCCCTTTTAAGCATGATCGGGGCAGATCTTGAGGCCCGTGGAGCCACAGACATCCGTGAGCCACATGCTTCGTCTGAGCCCAGAGATCCTGCCCTGTTTGGGAGCCCGAGGTGGGGGCCTCCGCTCCACCCCCCAGCCACCGGCTCCCAAGCCACCCTTTCTCCCACACCACCAGCTGTCTCACATACCTCCCGGTCCAGACGAGTTCTTCTCCAATTTCATGCACCGCCGGCATCTCCTCATCCTCACTGCCGCCCCCTCCGCCTGCCCCGCCACCGCCGGCACCTGCTCCACCAGCCGCGCCGTTCATCTGCCCCACTTCGCTCAGTGAAAACACAGACTTCCTAGGGAAAAGGCCATCCAGTCCGGCACGCCACGCACAAACAGCCCCCCTCGCTGCTCTCGCCGTACCATACATTATTTCGAACAGCCCGGGCAAGCCTCCCCTTCCTCGCCTTTTTCCTTCGCTGAACAGCCCCAGTCGTTGCAGCCGCTCCGCACGGGGGACAGGCTCCAGCCCCCTGAGCCCTGACCAGCACCCCCTCTCTGCACCTTTTCCAGCGCAAGAATGCCCTTTTTCAGCTAAGATGACCAGAGCTGAACATAGTATCCAAAGTGTGGTTACATCAAAGGTTTGTGCAAGGGAAGTAAGATTTGGTGGTTCTGTTTTCTATTCTATTTAGGCTTAAATTAAAGAAAGTAGGGGAAAGCACTAGGCCACTCAGGTATGACCTAAACCATATCCCTGATGAATATACAGTAGAGGTGACAAATAGATTCAAGGAATTAGGTCTGATAGACAGAGTGCCTGAAGAACTATGGTCGGAGGTTCGCAACATTGTACAAGAGGCAGAAACTAAAACCATGCCAAAGAAAAAGAAATGCAAGAAAGCGAAATGGCTGTCTGAGGAAGATTTACAAATAGCTGAGGAAAGAAGGGAAGTGAAAGGCAAGGGAGAAAGCGAAAGATACACCCAATTGAATGCAGAATTCCAGAGAATAGCTGGAGAGATAAGAAGGCCTTCTTCAATGAACAGTGCAAAGAAATAGAAGAAAACAATAGAATAGGGAGGACCAGAGATCTATTCAAGAAAATTGGAGATATGAAGGGAAAATTTCATGCAAAGATGGGCAGGATAAAGGACCAAAATGTCAGGGACCTAACAGAGGCAGAAGAGATTAAGAAGAAGTGGCAAGATTACACAGAAGAACTATACAAGAAAGAGCTTAACATCCCTGATAACCACGATGGGGTGGTCACTGACCTCGAGCCAGACATCCTGGAATGTGAAGTCAAATGGGCCTTAGGAAGTCTGAGCAACAACAAAGCTAGTGGAGGGGACAGTATTCCAGCTGAGCTATTCAAAATCTTAAAAGACCATGCTGTAAAAGTGCTACACTCAATATGCCAGCAAATTTGGAAAACGCAATCGTGGCCACAGGACTGGAAAAGTTCAGTTTACATTCCCATCCCAAAGAAGGGCAATGCCAAAGAAAGTTCAAACTACCGCACCATTGCACTCATTTCACAAGCTAGCAAAGTGATGCTCAAAATCCTACAAGCTAGGCTCCGGCAGTATGTGGACCGAGAACCGCCAGAAGTACAGGCAGGGTTTCAAAGAGATCAAAACTAGAGATCAAATTGCCAACATACGCTGGATCATGGAAAAAGCTAGGGAGTTCCAGAAATACATCTACTTCTGCTTCACTGACTATGCTAAAGCCTTTGATTGTGTGGATCACAACCAATTGTGGCAAGTTCTTAAAGAGATGGGAGCACCAGACCATCTTATTTGTCTCTTGAGAAACCTCTATGCGGGTCAAGAAGCAACAGTGAGAACTGGGCACGGAACCACTGATTGGTTCAAAATTGAGAAAGGAGTTTGGCAAGGCTGTATACCGTCGCCCTGCCTATTTAACTTATATGCAGAGCACATCATGAGAAAGGCGGGCCCAGATGAATCACCAGTTGGAATTCAGATTGCTTTGAGAAATAACAACCTCAGATATGCAAATGATACCACTCTCATGACAGAAAGTGAAGAGGAACTAAAGAGCCTCTTGATGCGGGTAAAGGAGGAGAGTGCAAAAGTTGGCTTGAAACTCAACATTAAGAAAACTAAGATCATGGCGTCCGGTCCTCTCACTTCCTGGCAAATAGATGGGGAAGAAATGGAGGTAGTGACAGATTTTATTTTCCTGGGCTCCAAGATCACCGCAGACAGGGACTGCAGCCAAGAAATTAAGACGCTTGCTCCTGGGGAGGAAAGCTATGGCAAATCTAGACAGCATATTAAAAAGCAGAGACTTCACCCTGCCAACAAAAGTGCGTATAGTCAAGGCCATGGTTTTCCCAGTTGCAATGTATGACTGTGAAAGCGGGACCAGAAGGAAGGCTGAGCGCCAAAGGACTGAGGCCTTTGAATTGTGGTGCTGGAGGAGACTCCTGCGAGTCCCTTGGACCGCAAAGCGATCAAACCAGCCAGTCCTGGGGAAGAGCAACCCTGACGGCTCTTTAGAAGGCCAGATGCTGAAGATGAAACTCAAATACTTTGGCCACCGAATGAGAAGGAAGGACTCCCTGGAGAAGAGCCTGATGCTGGGAACAATGGATGGCGAACGGAGGAGGGGACGGCAGAGGATGCGGTGGCTGGATGGAGTCCCTGGGGCAGTGGGTGTGAGCTTGAGTGGACTCCGGGGATGGTGGATGGCAGGAAGGCCTGGAGGAGTGTTGTCCGTGGGGTTGCGATGGGTCGGACGCGACTTCATGACTAGCAACAACAATTTTCTGTTCTGCTCCCAATTCTGCCCAGCTGGACTTCGCCCCCTTCACAGCAGCTGCACCCTGGGCCAGCCTTTCCATCAAGCTGCCCTCTGCTGCCCCCAGATCCTTGCTCAGCCACTGCACGCTCAGATCCCACCAGTGTGTGCTTGAAGGTGGGACTGTTTTGCCCCAACCTGCACGTGCGTAAATCGAGCTGTGTTTGCCCTTTCGATGCTCATCCTCCAACTTGTAGAAATCCCTTTGGCGCTCCTAAACCACCCTAAAGCGTTGACTGCTTCCTCCCGATTCCAGACCATGTATGAGCAGGTTGGAAAGCACTGGTCCCAGTGAGGATCCTTCGGGAGGCATGGCCATGCCTCCCCGTTCTCCATCTTCTCTTCTCTAACCAGTTAGTGATCCACAAAAGTTCCGCCTGCCCCATTTTTTCCATGACTGCCTAGTTTGCTCAGGCGTCTTTGGTGAGGGGCTTTGCCAGCTGCCTTCGGGACATCCAAGGAAACAATGGTCAGCGGATGCCTGAGGATTTTCAGGGCTTCTGGTTAATCAAGAACTCTTATTCAGTAAGAAGGAGAAGGCTAAGACAACCCAGCTGCTCCCCCCAACCCATGGGTAAAAATACTCAGCGAAAGCCACCGGCATTCACAGTTAAATTGTGCTTATTATAAACAGAGCAAGCTACTTGTTCCATGGACATAAAACCAGACACACATTTTAAGTAAATTATGGCTGCAAATGATATCTTCCAAAAGAAAGGCATGGATTTGATTTTATCTCATAAAATCTATTCATCTGAGTGGGATGGTGCAACATAGTGTCCTACAAGAGCAGCGGGGTGGACCCGATGGCCTTCATGGCCCCTTCCTACTCTACTTTTTGATGATTCTATGATTTGATGAAACTGTACAGAATTAAGCTTTAAGTTATGTAAGTCACGTGCTATTTTGAAAAAGAAATCTATTTGCAATGCAGACTTGCATCCGCCAGTTAATGCTTCCTTCAGTCCCGGGACTTTCAGTATGGCTTACATTTGAAAAACAAGTGGAAGCCCGAAACGTCACGCAGCACGCGCCCTCTGCTGAGGCGCGCCGGGGAGGGCCAGGTGATGGCCGTACCTTTTCTCCGCAGACGGCACTTTCTTGGGGGGCTCTATCCGGATGCTCGGGTCCCACTCTCCAGGCGGAAGGACAATGACCTCGTCCAGGAACTCGTCTATGCCTGCTATCAGGTCGTCTCTGTCTCTGGCCTTGTAGGCGACATCGCTGAAGAGCTTGAAGGAGAGAGAAAGGGACAGCGGGAGGTCGCAAGCCGGGCGTGAGCAGGGCAAGGCCAGCAACGAAACCGGGCAGCCCCTCTCCAAGCGGCACTGGGGGAGCGGGCTGAGGTTGACCTTCTGAAGGATGAGTGTGGGGCAGAACGCTTGAGGGGGATCCCACCAGGCACGGGCCTCTCGTGCCACGCGCTGCCGCCCATTCTGTTCGAGGCACAGCGAGCGCCCTTCTGAGCTGGGTGAGGTGCTGCAAAGACCGTTTGGCCGGAGGAGGAAACCCGGTCGAGCCCTTCGGGCACAGACATTTCGTGCACTTACGTCGTCTACCATGAGTGTGGCGATGGCTCTACCGATTTCATTGTAGGATTTGGCCTTCCCAGTGGGGCCCAGCAGGATAAAGAGAAATCTAGTAAAAGAAAACACATTCCGAGAGCACGGAAGGCGGTCTGCAAGTCATCCTGCGGTGCTCCCCCAAGCACAGGTGTTTCTGAACATTCCTCCTTGCCAAGATTTCTACCCTGGAAAGACTTCTCCCAGGGACGGGAAAAAATCTGCGAGCCATTAGGGGTGCTTTCCAAGGAAGGTTACATTGCCAGGGTTAGTGAGTGCGTTTGTTTTAAAGCAAGGAAAACGTGGCTCTTAATTATGAAAGCAAAGGAAACTGCTGCTTCTGCTTCTGCATTTGTGCTGACCCAGCGCCACCTTCCCCAGCCACCAGATTCCACCCAGTTCTGAGAATTTATTTATTAAATTTAGAGGCTGTAACCGAAATGTACTCGGAATCATAATCTCTGTGTTTAATGAGCACAGCCAGGCAGTCATGCAGAAATGACTGTTGCCTGCAATACCAGAACAGCTTCCTCAGTCCCTGGAGATTTAATTTTACAGCAGAAAATTTGCTTATGGGAAGAAAAAACCACTCTTGGTGGGTAGTTTTTCTGCTAAATGCATGTATTCAATGAGACTTCATTTACTTGTGGAATTAAACATCCTGGCTTGGCTCCATTTTGGGATATTTTTGGCAGCTTGTGTTTAAAAATAGCAAAATATCAAGACTGCGGTTAAAGGGAATTCTAACAAATCCTCCGTGTGCTGACATGGGGCTTGGAGGTGTGCAGTGTGTGATCGTTCTCACAGCATCAAGGGGAGAACGATGGATCCCGTGCAGAAAGCCACACTTTCCAAGGATTCCCTCTATGCGTTAGATTCAGTGTCCAAAAATTTATTTATCCATTTATGTATTCACTAGGTGCATAGCCCACCTTTCTCTTAAAAAACAAACAAACAAACAAAGCAGCTTGCCTCATTCTCCACCCCCTGCCCTCAATCTCATCCCCACAACAACAACCCTGTGAGGTAGGCTGGCCCAGACTCTGCTGCTGGCCCAGAGTCACCCCGTTGGCTCCATGGCTGAGAGGGGATGGGGACCCGGGTTGCCAGAGACCCAGTTGCCTGAGCCCCCTCTGGCTCTCAGGCCAGAGGGGGCCTAACGGAAGGCCTTGTGCTGAGCTTATCCCCCCCCCCCCCCCGCCTTGAATGGGGCTGCGGAGCATGCACGACTCTCACCGTGTCGGGACGGGCACTTCTGTCACCCCGCCCAGCATGGTCGACTGCGTGAGCCGGATGAAGGCCACAAAGGGCTTGTCCAGGAAATCCACTTCTCCCACCAGCACGTTCGAGGCCTCCGCATCTTTGGGGATCTTCTTGATGAACTTATTTTTGAGCTGGGGGGAAAGGAAGCGGCCACAGAGCTTGAGGGACTCCCTCCTCTCTGCGTCTCCCCAGCAAATTTTGTGGCCACACCACTGCGGGGAGGCGTCCGGTCCTGCGGCAGCCACAGGAACGAGAGCGGGACACAAGGGGGACGCGGGCGGAGCAGGCCGCCCTTCCCTGTGCAAGAAGGAAGTGGACCTGACCGACTGGCCCCACTTCGTCTGGCCCCATTTCACCTCCTCCAGTTTCCCAGCAGCCAGCGCCCCAGCGATCCGCGCCTTTTATCCCGGACCCTGTGGCAGCAACAAGCAGCTCCTTCAGACACAGAATGTCCTTCCGTTCCTTGCATCCTGCATTCTCCAAGGATGCTTGTGCATCGCAGATGATGCAGTCAATGCCTCCTCTCAGGAGGATCTATTTACTATTAATTGCACCCCATAGACTTGTTTATTTGGTTTATAGCCCAGCTTTTCCTCTCCTCTGCTCTCCTCTCCTTTCAACATTCAAAGCAGCTTACATCATTCTCCTCCTGCTCTCCATCTCATCCTCACAACAACCCTGCGAGGTAGGCTGGGATGAGAGTCTGGGGGCCTGGCCCAAAGCCCCCCGGCTTGCTCCAAGGCTGAGCTGAGCGGGGACCAGAAGCCAGATTGCTTAAGTCCCAGACCTGCACCCTTGACCGCTCCGCCACAGTGGCTCTCAGCATTTGAATCTACTAGCCACAAGCCTAGATTTAGAGTTGTTCAATGTTAGTGAAGATCATCTTGTGGTTGTTTTTGGGTTGGAAGTCCAGTCACCCTCCAGAGGGTGCTCTGGAAAGTGTCGCCACAGGTAACAATGCGGAAGCAAGTCTGGGTGCCGAGGGCACTGTGCTTCGGGAAACTCCTCTGTGGCCACAGGTGCGGAGTGACTGCTCTGGGCCTGGAAGGCACCAGATTAACCCAGAATGCCTTCGTTTCAGCAGCCAAGCACTCCCTGTTTTCCTCCCCGGCACAAAACATTGCGGTGGAATATTTATTCGCACAGCACTGAGTGCCTGAGGTGAGCTGTCTCGGTAACCCTTAGCACAGCCCTGTAAGGTAGGCCAGTATGATTGCTGGGGAGCTGCGACTCTGCTGCAGGGCATGCCTGCCCCGTGCAGAGCCCCCTGGGGGCGGGGGCTGGAATCTGCTGCTGCTGCTGCTGGCCAGGGTGGGCAGCACGGGCCTGGGCTCAGCACCCAGGCAGGGCAGGAGCGGCTGCCAGAGAGCTGCTCGGGCGAGGCCCTCGGACTGCCCAGCAGGGGCCTTCGGCTTGCACACGCCTCGACCCCTTCGGCCCTGCGTCCCTCCGGAATTTGCTGCCTTGACTATCCCTGATTAATAAATATTACCAACAAGCTTAAGAGGCGTTGTGATGCAAATGAGGCCTGGGCTCTTTTGATCTTAAGAAACGTGGAGAAACGAGCCCTGCGGGGAGGGGAGGGCGGCTTTCGATGAAATCCGCTCCTGGATCGCCGCCCTTTCTCCCCCTGCGCCTCGGCCGCCTTCTGCTCGGGGAAGAAAGGCAGCCGGTGGCCGGAAGCCCTCGGCGTTCAGCCCGGCATCAGCTGCGCCCCCGCGCCCCCCCCCCCCGGCTGTCACCCCATTCCTCTCGGCGAGGCTCAAAGCGCTGTGGTCTGGGGGGGGCCGGGGGCGCTAATCTCCGCACTGGCACGCAGCGAGGCATGTGAGGCAGGGAGCGCTACCCCTTCCTTCCAGCCACCCCTTTTTCCTAATCCTTTAAATCCATACTCGGAAAAAGCCAATAAAGTGTTTGGACTGAGCAGAGAGCTGGAGTTAAGAGCAACTCTAAGCTTCATGTCAAACTTCATGTAAAAGTCCCTTTGTAGCGGCTGAGTAGGCTGATTAAGGCCCGGCGCCCTTTGGGAACAAAATACTTCGCATGCCGCTTGGTTAACCCTCCCAACACCCACCTGACAAACCCCTTGGATTCAGTACGGGATAAGCCCTGCCTCAGGACCGCATTCCTGCCACGCCTGCCTCTGTGGCTGGCTTGCGAGAGCCGCCTGGCCTCCTTTCCGCCCTTGCACCAGCAACCCTGCAAGGTAGGCCAGGCTGAGAGTGCGTGGCAGCCAGGGGGCTTCTTGGCTGAGAGGACCTGGCTTTCCCAAGTCCCAGACCAGCTCCGTGACCACCAGGCCGCACTGGCATCAAATCAACCGGGCAGAACTGCGAAGGACAGACAGTTCGGAAGGCATGCGCTCACTCATGGAGACTGTTTGATGGCACAGCACAGCTGCCCCCCCAGCCCCCCATGGCAAGCAAGCATCCTTTTCTTGCACCTGCACTTTGTTGACCTGCTGCACCTGTTGGGTTTCTGTCTGAACAGTTTAATCCAAAGCAAAACCCTTGCTTTCCTACCTGTCTGGACGGCTAAAAACAAAAGTGCATCTAAGCAAAAGGCTTTGATGAGAATAACTGAGGAAGCCACGAATGGGCCCGGGATCTCCCCCCACCCCACCCCCCCCGAACTGCCACTGCCTCCACTATGTTAGGGAAGCGCAACGCAGAGGAGCACGAGCCTGTCCTTCGCGGTGCCGGGCCTCTTCTGCCATCCCCAAAGCGAAATCCTCGGCTTTGTGGGCACCTTCTCGAAAGCAGCTCCCTGACGGGGCGCCTGCTCCCCTGGGCTGAAGGTCATGACGGTCTTCCTGGATGCATTTGTGAACTACTTTCTGCTGTTTGCTGGTTTTTCCTGCCACTTAATCTCTGGATTGTTCCTAATCCACTAAGAAAAGTTTGCCACTGCAAATATAAACAAATAGCTTTCTGAGAGTTGCTTTTGTTCAGCCAGTGCAAAGCTCCTGGCAAGAGTGCCCTGCAGCCTGTGCGGGGCGCCGGCAACCAGCGAAATCAGCCCTGCGGTTTACAGCACAAAGGAGGCGGTCGCATCGGCAGGGGCCTTTCGCAAACACGCAGCTGACAACGGCCCTGCTCTGTGATGGCCCCTCCAAACAGATCATTGGGTTGATCACCTGTTAATGCTGCTTCAAATTAATTTCACACAGAATATGGAAATCATGGGAATTGCCCACTGAAAAAAGAGTGCAGTAAAGCCGTAGAAACTCTCCACGCAACAGCAGATGTCTCAACCAGACCAGCTACGGATGGTCAGAACTGAATATATATTTATCCTCAAAATCTTCCCCACAAAGCTTTGCCACCTCTTGCAATACAGAAATCCCCACAGCAACAACCTCATTTTAAGTAGGCATACACTTCATCTATTTTTAGTAATTTAAAATGATTTTAGATAATTATTTGTTCAAACAGTTGTTTTAAATGTTGTAATTCTCTGCAGATTGCCCCAGTAAAAGTTCTCTCTGGTCCCACAATAAATCCTCATTGTCGTCACCTCCAGAACAGTTTTCTGGTTTTCACATTCCTTTTAGCATCGCCCTGAGGAAGCTCCTGTGCTGGCATTCATCGGGCGCTCACCCAGCCCCCCCCCCCCCCGGAAGGGCAGTTCTGCAAAAGTCAAGGGTTCAGACTCTTGGATTCCTGATCACCATGCAAGGATGTGAAAGCTGGACAGTGAGGAAGGCGGATGCCTTTGAAACAGGGTGCTTGAGAGCGTTTCTGGCCCGGCAGAAAGAGGAACAAGGAGGGCCCAGGCCAGGGGTCAGCAACCCGCGGCTCCGGAGCCGCATGTGGCTCCTTCATCCCTCTGCTGCGGCTCCCTGTCGCACGAAGTATTATTTATTTATTTAGGAAACTTCTATGACGCCCCATTCGCTGAAGCCTCGGGTGGCTCACAATGTGCCACAACCGCCAATGTGCGACGCGCGCTGGCACGTGATTTATTGAGCTTTTCGACCCCCGGTAGGCCAACCATGGATAAATCCAAGAAAAGAAAAGTTTCAGAAGAAAACAGAACGTTTAATGGTACGTGGGCAGATTCATTTGCTTTCACTGCTGATGAGACTGGTTTACCAGTCTGGTTTTTTTAAGGTAAAAAATGATATACGCAGTGTTATCTTCATTTTAGATAGGGTTTTGTGGCTCCCAGTGTTTTCTTTTCTGTGGGAAATGGGTCCAAAGGGCTCTTTGAGTGTTTAAGGTTGCTGACCCCTGGCCCAGACGAAATCAAGCCAGAACTTGCCCTGGAGGCAAAAATGGCAAAACTGAAAACAAGACCCCACGAAAACAAGACCCACTTGGAAAGGCAACTTCACCCCACCCCACGTGGAACTGGGGTTACCACAGCTCAGGAACCAACTGCCTGCCACACGAAAATTTCCTTGGAGCATAACAGAAGTTTTGGGGGGAGTTTAAAGTGCCTCTGTGGCACTTTAACATGCGGGAATTTTGCAATTTGTTCAGCTATTCCAGAGCTGGGAGGCCAATCATGACACCTTGGGCCTCAGCAGAGGCTTCCTGCAGCTTCCTACCTGGTCGGTGCTTGGTGTTTCTGTGATGTCATTCATACTCCTGCTCTGGGCATGGCCTAAAGATGCAAAAACATGCAGATGAGAAGCTGTTTATTTCGGGGGCCGGGGATCTTTAAGGCTGAAAGGAAAGGCACTGCGGCTGTGCCAGTCTGTGTGCCGGCTATTTTCATCGGGTGTTTGTGCCAGTCCAGGGGCGAGCTCCGTGCCGCCCAGGGGAGCTTCCCCTCCTGGCTGGGTAGCTCAGGCCAGGGGGGCGCTGAGCCGGCCCGCCCGGCAGCCGCAGGGTCCACACGGCTGGCAAGCAGCCCCTCGCCTGGCAGCGCCCTGCGTGGGCTCACCTGGGAGTCGTGCGCCATGGGCGCGGTCTCTCCCCAACTGCAGGTTCCCCTTGCTAGGAAACTTGCACGGGAATTGATACAGGGACTTCCTAACGACTACAATTTTAAAACGAACCATTTAAAGGGCCTCATGTGGTATAAATACAAAATTTCCACAGAAAGAACTGATTGCCAAATACAGTCCAACTAGGTTTAAGAATGGCATGACAAGAACAGATTAAGACATTAATCAGTGTAAATCCATCTTCTGAAAACTGAACGTGCCTGTTAAGACCCTTGGGGGGCAAAATTGCCTTTTCATTCTTGCCAGGAGGATACCAAGCAACGGTGCAGCGGGGGCTGCTGCCGACCACCCCAAAATGCCCGAGCAGGTGCGGGGGCTGCTGGGGCTTCCCGCTGCGAACCGCTCGAGCTCAGCATTCTGCCTTTTAAGCCCCCCTCGTCGACCACGTCTTTCAATCTCAGTTTGTGCAACTTCAACCAGCCCCGCCCGGGTGCTGCATGCGTCAGGGGCCGGGTGGCCTCACATGCCACGTGTTCTTCCCTCCGGTCTTTGCAGGGAGGTCTCATATCGGGAACAGGGCCAAGCAGAAGTAGGATGCTCTGGACTCCAGCAGAAAGTCATCTGTGGCCCCCTTGGCCTTGAAATGTTCCCCTACTTTGGGGTGAAGCATTTTTGCCTGGCACGCAAAACCCCTTTAATGCACGAAGGGTAGCTGGACCCCCAGGACTGGGGCTGGTTCACCCCCCTCCCAGTCCTCGCGTAATAAACCATCTCTCTTGCTCAGTGGCTCCCCTTGTTTGAGGCAGCTTTGCCGGAAACTGTGTGGGGAGCCGTGTGAGGCAGGGCTGGCGCAAAACTCACGCAATCGCCCATAACTGGCGCTCTGCCTCATCCTCAGGTCTTCGGAGGAGCGGTGGAAGCTGGCCCCCGTCGCTGGGCTCCGGGTGGGGCTGCGGTCTGCGAAGGAGAAGGGAAAGGGGAAGGCAAGCTTGGAGGTAAGCGAGGGGAAGGACAGGCCAAAGATGGGTGGGCTGAATCGCCAGCCACCACGCGCCCTTCTCCTGGGGAAGAAGCACTGGCCGGCAGCCCTTTAAGTCTCCGTGCTTGGAGCAAGGCTGGGGAGCCTGGGAGAGAGACAGTTAACCCCGTCCCTTCTCGCCCTGCTGCAGTGCCCTCTCGTGCGTGGCTCACGACAGAGCACACCTGGCCTTGGCCACAGGAAGCGCTGTGCGAGGAATTGGCCATGGCCTCAGAGTTACTGGGGGGCCAGCACCCCCACTCCCAGCTTCGAGGGTGCCCCGGCAGCCACTCCGGGACGCAGGCACTCACTCGTATTTGAGACGGATTTGCCGATATCGGCCAGCGATCGGTGGATGGGCTTCTTGGTCTGGTGGCGGTGCTTCCGCAGCAGCACGAAGCTGATCTTCTCCCGTAGCTCCGGCTTGAGCAGGCCATCTTCGAGCTGCTTCTCGATGACATCATCTTGGCAGGAAATACAACACGTTACTTGGTTCCACCCCATCCACCATCCCGCCTGCTCCCGGGTCAGTGCCTGATGCTCCTGAGGATGGAGCAAAAGTTCCAGGCCTCTCAGGAATGCAATCAGCCATTTTAATATTCCTTTTTAAAAAACAATTGCTACATCACATTCCCTCCGGTGTGTCTGCCCTGTCTTTCTGTCATAGGAGAAATCAAAGACTACTAACAAGACACAAATGGAATTAAGGAAGCTCTGTAACAAGAAAGCCCAGCAGCAAAAAGTGGTCCCAGAGCCTCCGGGGATCAATTTTGATTTTCCCCATCGCCTGATTTCTGGAGAAGCCATGTTCGCCACTTGACAGGTGTGAGGCAATGGCAGGTCTGAACTTCAGGATGAGGAACTGTAGACCGAAGGAGCCGAGAGACTGGAGGCCGAGGCGAAGGGTGCGGACCCCCGGATGCTCAGGCTTGTTGCTGGGCCGACGGGAAGAGAACCGCACTTGCCCATCGGGACCAGCCAGGAGCCTGAACATGTGGCACGGGTAGGAAGATGATCCAGATGCTGAGGTGCTCCGGCAGTGGATGATCCCCGACAGCCTGTGGTGCACATGCCGAGAAGCACCGGTCTCTGATTTCCACCTTCCACCACCAAGCCCTGTGCACGGAGCTCCTTGATGAAGCCAAAGGTTTGTGCTTTCATGCAGAAGTGTGCTCTGCTTGACGATGCGCTCTTCCTCCCCCAAAGACAGCATCTCAGAGACGTGGCCAGTGTGTGGCACCGGAGAACACTCCTTGCACTCAGTGGATGCGTGACGCATTTCTGACCCAGCACCAACAAGAGGGCCGCACCGGGCCTTGTTCCCAGTGCCCAGGAAATTTCCAACACTGGCACATGTTTGGAGCTGCAAACTGAGTATCTCAGCTGCAATTGCCCAGATTGCAAACATCTGCACAGGTCAGGGCTACTCGTGGGATCCAGGGAGTTGTTCTCGTTCTCGTTCTGCATTTCATGTGTGCAGCATGGCAGCCCTTCCTCTCCCTGCGGATGCACCCACGCCGCCCTCACAGTTAATTCCAGATTAGTGCAAAACTCAGGGCTTCTCTTTGCACGTTGCACGCATTTAGATGATTCACACACCATTGCACAAATTGCTGAGCAGAGGCTTGAATGTTGCACGTATTTCCCCAGATTTTTAACAATGATGCAGATTATGGCCCATGAAAAAAAGCAGAAGGCCGGTGGGCCTGTCAGACCCGGCACGTGCGGCATGGAATGCAATCGGAAGCAACCCCCCTCGTTCCTACGCCCTCGCACAGGACGCGCCTACTGCCAGGTCGTGCTCCCTGGCTGCAGTCGCTTCCGTGGGTGCACTGCAGCAGGCCCGCAGGCACGGGCGCCTCTCGCCTGCGTGCAGGCCGTACCTATTATCTGCGGCAAGGAGTAGCCGTCCAGGTCGAGCAGCACGGTGCCCGTTTGCAGGCAAGTGCGCAGCTCGAAGAGGCTGTGCAGGGATAAGGTCGACACGTGCGGCTTGCTCCATCGCTCCCCTCCGTCTTCCACCTTCTCTTCAAACTTAATCCACCTGAAACAGGAAGAAGTGGCCACAAATAGTGTGCGGGGTAAACGGCGGCAGTTCCACGCTCAAAGCATGGCCCTTTCACGGAAGGAAGCCTGCTGAGCTCCCTGGGATGAGCTCCCTGGCAAGGGGGCTGGAAACAGAGGACCAGAGAGCTTCAGGAGGGGTCTCCCGGGACATCTAGTCTGACCCTGGCTCCAGCCAGCTCCGCTCATGACATGCCTCCCATGAGGGCGGAGCTGGGACTCAGCAAGCCGACTGGTGACTCTGGGCCAGTCACATCCTCGCCCTCTTGGCAAGTGTCTCCAAGGGCTGGGCCTGGGTGTTGGCTGGGGCAGGCAGAGTGCCAGGACCTGGTGCTGGTGTGAGACCAGGCCCTGCCACTCAGTTGGGCTAGAGGCTGGTGGCCTGGCCAGCGGTCGTCAGGCAGTCCAATACCTTGCAGGCGAGAGAGAGAGAGAGCGAGCGAGAGCACAGCCCAGGAACAGTCCCGTGGCCTGATGCCAGGGAAACAGTCACGGAAGGGTGATCCCAACACGAGTGGGCTGGAGCAGGGCAGGAGCAACTGGGAGCGAGCAGGAACACCAGGAGCAGGGCAAGGGCAGGTGAGGGAACGCAGGATCAACCTGGAGCAGGGGGGGGGGGACAACGGGAGCAACCAGGAGCAGCTGAGCGAGGCCGGAATGAGGTTCGAGGCGTGCTGATGCAGAGGCCCAAGAGCGGCAGTGGGGGCGTGCCTCTTCCGCTGGTCTGCGGGGCCTCCAGCTCACGGCAGGATGGCTCCTCAGCCACTCCCTGCGAGAGCCGCAAAGGTGCTCCTCGTTCTGCAGCACCGGCAGGGCCGCCCAGGCCCTGATCCGGGCAGGGCCCCATCAGCCACACCACCAGAAGTCCAGCCCCACGGCGCCTCACTCCCCGTCGGCAGTGCCGCCCCTTCCTCGCACAGCGGCTGGGGGCTCCCTGGCTGGCCTGCCTTCCTTTCCCTGTGTCAGCACCATGGAGAGCACTGTCCGGGGTCGCGCAGTGCAGTGCAGCCGAGCTGCAGCGTCACGGGAGGGTTCGACGGACCGCACGCGCCTCGGCGAGGAAGGCCAGCAGCGCCATGGCTGGGCCGGGACAAAGCACTGCTGTGGCTCGGCCAGTCGCACGAACCCAGGCAGTGGGCAGAACCATGAGAAGGGAGCAGGCCCTTCTGCGGGCTGGGCTGGGCTGGGCTGGGCTGGGTTGGGCTGGGCACCTAGAAGCCCCGGTGGTGGCAGGAACGACCAGACTCCTTCTGGAAGAGGGGCTCTGTCCTCTGGAGCATGAGGAAGAGCCGAGGGTCAGTTTCTAGGTGGCGATCCCTCCCCATTCGCAGAATTCCTGATCACTGGCCACTCTGGCTGGGCCTGATGGGTGATGAAGTCCAAAATATCTGGGGCTATGGAAGTGTTTGCTAGGCTGATTGGTAAGGAAGAGCATTCTGCACATGTTCAAGGGCACTATCCTGTGGATACAAAGGTGGCTGCCCAGACACTTCGGGATGTCTCCAGTGGGAGAGAGCCCACAGCTTCCCCAGCCAACAGGCTCCATGGTGGTGTTGGTCTGACAGCCAGGGAATTCTTCCTGGTGTCTAGTTTAAATCTGGTTTCTTTTAACTTTGGTCCATTATTCCATGTCCTGCACGAGAAGAGGCTCTGGCCCTCCTGTTTGTGACAGCCTCTCAGGTATGTGCAGAGCACTGACATCTCTCGCCTCAGGCTTCTCTTCCTGAGGCTGAACGGGCACAGTGCTCTCAATCTCTCCTCACAGGGCTTTGCCTCCAGTCCCTGAATCATCCGTGTTGTCCTCCTCTGTACCCTTTCTGGTTTTTCTGCATCTTTTTAAAACTCAGAAACTGAGAACTGGACACAGGACTCCAGGCCCTGACTAGAGCTGAGTGCGGGAGAACCAGTCCTTCACATGTTTGGAAGGGAGGCGTCTGTTCAGGCAGCCCGGGAGAGCGTTTCCCCATTTTGCAACTGCAGCACGTGGTTGGCCTATATTCAGCTTGGGATCTGCAGCAGCCCCAGGATCCTGCCCATTTGCAACATCACGTCGCAGCGGGTGCATTTGGTTTCTTGCTGCTAAGTGGAGGGCTTGGCACTGGTCCCTCCCAAATTTCATTCTGTCATTCGCTGCCCAGATTCTTATTGAGCCTCACCCGCCCCCCCTCCCATCTCTGCCTTTCAGGATATTTGCTATTTCACCCAGCTTTGGGGCATCTGTAAATTTAATTACCTTGTTCTTCTTCATCTAAGCCATTAATTAAAATGTTGAAGAGTACCTGTGGTTTGTGTGTGAATCAAGGCCTCTTTCAAGCCATGAGAAGCGATTGCACAGATCCAGCCATGGGCAGGGCTGCATCGAAGGGCCCTCTGGCCTCCGCAGGGGCAGTTTCTCCTACCTGGCCGACTCTTTCCACTCCATCTCTTCTCCATCGTGCTGGAGTGTGTCCATCTCAGTGAACAGCGTGGGGTTGGGGGGGTCGTCATCCTCGCCCAGGATGTACCGGAGGCGCTCAGCAGCTGGAGACACTGGATCAAGGGCGAGAGAGAGTGACGGCTAGGCAGACTGGTGCAGCTCGTGCCCCTGCTGGGCACCCGGCACTCGCTTGCTCCTGAGGGGCCCCGCAGGAGGTCAAGGTTTCTAGCAAGCGGCGCAGCCTTTGGGAAGGCTGTACCTGCTTGAAGAACTCGGCTGCGGAGGTCCCAGGCAGACTTCTTGGGGCTGAGCTGCGCCAAAGGGCAAGCGCTTCTCAGACCTGGCAGTGTGCTCCTGAAAGCAGAAGCGGAACGGCGGCGATTGCACCACCTAGAGAAGCCCTAGCTGGCCGTGTGTGTGGAGACGCCCTGGGCTGCAGAAGCCGGGGCCTGCGGCTGGCCAAGCAGGCTGCCCAGCCCTCCAGGCAGTCCCACGCTTGCCTGGGCTTCCCCACCCACGAGTGTGCATCGCGCCCCACTGCGTGATTTGGACAGCACTCGCTTGTGCTGAATGCAGACCGTAGCCTTGTGAAACGAGCGCAGATCCCAGGCGAGCTGACCGGGTTAAAACTAGGCTAGAGCAGAGACGCATGCTTAGGTTCCCCTGCCCCCATCCCCACAGCTTCCTCTTCTCCCACAAGCCCCCTTGCTTGCTCCCTGCACCTGCCCTGCACCTTCTGACAGCTGGAAGAGAGAAGGGGTGCCTGAGAGGTTTCTGGAGCGTGGGCAAGAAGCCGGAAGTCAGCTGTCATGGAACAGGGGACAGAGGCTCCCTCCAGGCTGGCAGAACAGCGGAGCCGCTCCTGGCTGTGGGCTGGCCTTCGGGAGAACCTGAGCCCAACTTCATGGGGAGGGCTCAGCACCACGGACAACTCCTTCACAGTTCGGACAACAGCTGCAGGACCGCAGCCCCCCACAGACAGGGCGGCCTGCAGTGCCCTCGGGGGTACTGGCTTGCCTATCGCCAGCCCAAGGAGAGCCACTGCTGCAGCCCCAGCCCGCTGGGCCCCAGAGGGAGTGCCAACAGCAGTTAGCAGTGCTGGATCCGGTTTTTTGGGGGTGCTGGACAAGGGCCCCTTTGCACCCTCCCCATCAGCAGTTCTCTCAATGCCATGGCCACCCGCCAATCTTGCTTCCTGCCCTCCTTCCCTTCCTTGCTGTATGGGATCATTCCTGCCCGTGATGCCCAAAGCACGTCCCGGGAATTATCTGGGGAAAAATAGCCCCTGGAAGCATGACCAGGAGTTGGGAGGGGCAGTTCCTTCCAGAGGATACGACTGCTGTTGCCTGGGCACCAAGCCACTGGCACTGAAATGACACCCCCCACCAAAGAGATGTCGGGAATCCGGACCCCCAAATAGGCAGCCCCCTTAGGGCTCAGGCAGCTGGCGGTTACATCAGACAAGGCTGCGTCCACCAGGCACGTGATTTCAGGAGAGGGCAAAGAGCAGCTCCTTGTTCCAGGGAGTTGAATAAAATACCCTGGGAAGGAGACTAAGCTGCCCGGAGGAGCACCTGTGACAAACAGTGCACCCATTCAGGAGGCAGGGGAGCAAAGGTTACCGGCAATCCCTGCCAAGCCCCTCGCACGAAGAGGGGCCCAAGTGGGCAGATCCGCGTGGAAGGGGGCAGCATGGCGGGCCTGCGGAGAGATGCTTTTGGGGGCAGGCAGGCCTCTCGCGGAGGTCAGGGCCAGTCTGGCTCAAGGCAGCTCAGGCCACACGTGCGGCCCCCCGAGCGGCAGCCACCCCCACAAGGCGTGGGCTGCTCCGGACGCGCTCGCGGCTCTCCCTGCCCGCCCGCGGGACGCGCACGTGCCTGGCAGGCAAGGCAGGCTCACCTGGGCGCCCGCGCCCTCGGCCCCCGCAGCCGCTGCCCCTGCGCGCCCACCTAGGGACGGGCGAACGAGCGCCCCCTGTCGGGACCGCTGGACGGCGCGTTCTCTCGCCCCCTTGCGACAGGTGAAGCGAGGGTCCCCGAGTCACTTGACTCGCGAGCAGGACGCATCCCTATGAGACGCCTACGCGTGAGTAAGCCTGCTCGCAGGAGGGCAGCACCGACGCCTCCGTTGCGTCCTCTGCCACGACCTTGCGCCCCCCCCCCCCCCGCTGCTCCCGGCTCCTGGAAGAGGAGGGATCTGGCGCTGCGAGGGCGGGGCTGCCCACTCCGGAGAGAACAGCCTTCCGGGGCTTGGGCAGATCCCTCGGGGGGCCTGATCACGGCAGGCGCGGGCGGGCGCGCCAGGGACGGAGAGCAGCGCAGCGCAGCGCAAACGCTGCTATTCACCCGGGCGCGCAGCGGGAGCCCCCGTGTCCGCCCGGGAAGCCTCGGATTTCTGGCAAGCCACCGCCTCGGCCAGCCCGTGGATGCCTCTCCGGGCTTGTCGGCAGCCCAGGGTGACAAGCGCGGCCGCAGCCCCCTTCCCCGCTCCGTGGCTCCCACGCCCTCGCTCTGGGTGGGATCGCTTCCCCGGGCGGCTGGGGAGACCCTGCGGGGCCGAGAAGTGGGCCAACTTCGAAACGGACCCTTCCGGCGGGGCAAGCACAGGCCGGGCCGCGGGGCGGCTTCCCCCGCCACCCCAAGCGCCAGAAGCGCAAGCCGGAGGGCCCGGGCACGGGCTTGCGCTCCCACCGGGAAGCGTGGCCGCGGCCCGAGAGAGAAGGCGCCGCTCCGGCATCGCAGGTCGGCGGCTTGGCTCACTTAAGAGCCTTTACGCCAACTTGCCGGGGCGCAGGTGAGATCGCGCGGCGTCCAAGGGGCTCCAAAGGCCGGGTTCAGACCTTCTCTGGCGGTCACACCCGGGGCTTTGGGCTAAGAAGATGATCTCAAAAGGAGGTGGGCGGACCTCCCCCCCGGCAGTGGGCCCGACTTTGCCCTGCTGCAACTGGGCTGCAGGCAGCCTGGGCTGTGGCCTCTCGGCTCCCCCCACCCCCGAGCATCACTGGGCAGCAGGGGAAGGGGCCCTTTCCCGTTAAGGCCCTCCTCACCGAGCTTTTCATCCACGAAGGCTTACAAAGTGGCTTACAAGTGACAAAATACAAATCAGCCTCTCCCCTCAGACGTCAAATCTAAAACACATGATGCTAAAGGAAAGGGGAAGGGGAGGGAGGAGGAAAAGATGCCCGCACTGGCACCAGTCCGTGTGTTTACAGTTCATATGAAGGTCTCCAAAGCTCCTCCTAAGTATGGGCAGGCTGGCTTTAGGCTTGCAAGATCTACTTCGGTTTTGCTACATCCACCAGGCAGAGCTAGCTACAAAACGCCGGCTCTGGCGGGCAGACACAGCTGGCTTGGTACACCTGTGTCTCACCTTTCCTCACTTCTAAGCAAAATGCTTCCAGGCATTGCACCTTCTCACAGAGGAGTTTCTCTGCCCTTGATTATTTCCAGTTGTATTTTGTGCCCTTTCCACAACTCCACAACAAAGATTTCTGGAGTGGCAACCCCTCACACAGCGCTCCTAAAGTGGACACAGCATGCAGTGTGGAAGCGACGTGTTCTCCTCCGTTCCTTTCCTAGCTGTGCTTCAGACGGAACGTGGCTTGAACAGCAGCTGGGCCAACGTTTTCACTGGGCTGCTCTCCTTCTCAGTCCGCTGACTAACATTTTATGGCGGAAACAAAACACAGTCCGCAAAATGGAAGTTTACTAAGCCCTGTTTACACGGACATGCACTGCTTCTCCCACTCTGGGGGCTCCTTCTGGAGCCACACTGGGACCCTCTTTTCGTTCGGCTCCCTAGATAATTTGGCAGCAAATTGGCAGCAAATTGGCTTTTCTCCTCTCGCCTCATCTATGAGGAAGGTGAAGACCGTTGGTCCCACTATTTGTATTCCTCCACTGGGAAGTTTAATTTTCTCTCTCGCTGCAATCGCCAAAGCAAAAGTGCGGCTTGGAAAGAGCCCACGCCGGGACGGATCCCCCCGGGAGCTCCAAGGGGGCTTCCCCCGGGAAGCAGAGAGAGGATGGCGAGGGAGGGGGAGGACGTGCCCCGCCGTGGCCGTCTGGAGGCAGCTCGGGCCCCCCTGCTCCTGCAGGGGCAAAAGCACGCACTGCAACGGCACCCACACGGCTGGCACCCCATTGCACGGGGCCCCGAGAGTCCAGGCCCAGAACAGAGGGCTCTCCCATACATTCCTCCCCAGCCACAGCATCCTTACCACCGCGACCCATGTGGCTGAGGAAGCCATGCCAAAGACCAGGCTCCAAAGGCCACGTGGCCCATTATCCACAGGCACGATACTGCTGGTCAGGTGCCCTGATCCCCAGGGCGGGGGCTGCTGGAAGGGCAGGCCAAGAAGCGGGCTAAACCCCAAATGCCCAGAACGAGGCCTTCTCCACAACGTCGCTGCTTATATTACGGCTTCAGTTCAAAGCTTCTTCCGGGGCTTCAGCCCACGTGGGAGGACTGGCCTGCCCCACCTGCAGCCCCCCATGCCCCCTAGGCAGGCAGGCAGAGAAGCACCCCACCAGCCCGCAGGCTTGGCGCCACCGTCCGCTTGTCCAGCGGGGTCTCTGGACCCCATGCCGAGGGCTGGTGGTGTGGCCGTCCTCCCGCTCGGAGCTCTTCTGGACCATGCCTGTGGAAACCCCGGAAAGCAAAGGGCTGAAAGCCACCGTGGTGCGGGGAACCGCACGCTCTCGGCCGGCTCGTCTTGACGCACAGCGTCCAAAATGCCAGCACACACGGCCACTTCCCTTCACAGCCAGCCCACACCGCTGAGGCAGAAGCACCCACCTGCCTCCCATCATTTCCAAGCGGGAGGCTGCCCTCTCCCACGATCTTGCCCAAAGGCCAGGATTTCAAAGGTCACTGCGCAAGGCTCGATTTAGCAACATCAATCAAACTGGGGTGATGCAACGAAGGGCCGCTGGTCGGGCATGTGACAGCGGAGCTACTGAGGTGGCAGGCCTGATCCAGCCAGCCCAGCTGCGAGGGAGGAAGCCCCCCCCCACTTTCAGAATGGGGTGGGGCAGCGTGCTCCACCCCCG